TGCACATGAATTTGCATCAAAAGGTAGTTTCAATACAAATGATTTAAGAGGATATTTGAGAAAAACCAACATATATTTTTGACAAATAATTAATTTAACTAATTTTTTAAATCTATTTAAATTTATTAAGTAGATCTTATATTAAAAATCAGAAATATTATGTATGTATTTTTAATTAATGGTAGGTGCATCGAATGCCACACTTATTAAGGGTAGGCCATGTCCCCAAATTGAATAATATATATAAATATATATATAGGATAAAGATATCTGTAGGTAACTTATCAACAAAATGCTTACAACTGTCAGTTTGTAATAGGGATGGGACTTAAATGCACGATTTCATGTACAATAATGGATGAAATCATTGCTAATTACACTAACCTTTTTTGTGCTACATACAAATATTTTTTTATTAGAAGTAATTCTATTCGAAGTATTACTGAATACTAAATATAGACACTTCTCTCGATGAGAATTTAAATATTAATTCATCATATTGTAAGATTAGCTTTTTGTCATTAGGCTGGGTTGAGTGTATTGGTTGGGCTGGCCCGAAGGCTAAACCCAGTCCTGTGGGCTTTGTCAAGCCTCGTTCATTTTTCTTTGGACCCTCCAAGATATATTTCACCGGGCTTGGGCTGGGTTTATTGGGCTATACTCTGTCTTGTGCTCACACTTTCTTTCTATTATTTTTAACTTTTTGAAGAAAAAAAAAGATACTATTGACATGAAATTATGAGATTTTTAAGTAGAAAAGTAGGTACGTTAAATTTTTTTTTTTTTTAAAAAAAAGAAACAGGAAAAAGAGATGGGAACAAGAAGAAGCAATGAAAAGGCTATGATAATGTCGGTCTTCATCATTTGCTAGTCATGGCATGCGAAATTTTTAATTTATAACTTTTAAATAACCGTAGATGCTATTCAATTCCAATGTTTAGCATTTAGCAGACGCTGGGACCGAAAGATAATACTCCCTCCACTTCAAAATATAAGCATGATATCTATGAAGGGAGTTGTTTTTTTTTTTTTTTTGATAACCATCATTTTAGATTTTTGGATCATTTAATGCATTTTTTTATTTTTATCCTAATTAATTATATGTCTCTTTCATCACTTTTTTTCCACTCATTCTCTCTCACCTCTGTTTTCACTCACCCTATCTCTCACTCATCCTCTCCATAAATAGGGGTGTTTTAGAAAAATAAGTCTATTATGTTTAACAAATTTTATCTAACTTCTTGAGTTGCATAAACTAGTTATTTGATGTTTATATTTTGAGTTGGATGGAGTATATATATGTAGCACTTTAAACTCTGGAAAAATGACAGATAAAGATCTTTAAAATTACCAAATCTCGAATCAGGGTTCATTACGACATTTTAATAAGTTTTGACAATACTTGACTTGCAAATAATGATGCATTTTTTTTATGAGAATTTCTAATTTGGGATTTTCCAATGTCCATGGTCTTTTTTTTTTTTGTCATTTTTCCTTAAACTTTTGGGGTGGAATTTTCACATATAAAAATTGTTCAGTACTCAACAATCTTTTGAACAAAATTGCATTCTGATAAAAAAAAAAAATGAAGGTACTCGTTTTTTTTAAAAAAAAAAAAGACTTATGAGTTGGGTTGGACATCGTACTGAGAATACATGGCGAGAGACCACGAGGCCCAAATCAAGCGATGCAAAGGTACTTGTTCACAATTAACGCCACATTCACAAAAACATGTGGTGTGGGGGATCATTTCTGATCTAGCAGTGGTCCTGATTGATGAATGCTTTTTTTTTTTGGGAAGGGACTGCTCCTTTTCAATTAGGAGGGATCAAGTATTCTTTTTGTACCTCTATCTGCTCAATTAAAAGATAGTGGTTGATCAAAGGTACAGTAATTTTCTACTACTCTATGAGAGTACTTAGCTAATTGATCCACATTAATTAAAGACGTACTCGCGTATTCTATAATTTACTAGGACTTGTCACACTCTATGAATAAGTAAAATCGCTTCGTCTACAATATCCCTAAACGGATGCATGGTTGTGATCACATCTCTTGGTCAACGAATTTATAGCTTCAATGCAGTTAAAGATGAGGTAGATTTTCCTAAAACCTTTGTGCCGGCACAAATGTAGCCCATGAATAGTCAAGTTACTAAAAACTGGACCAGTTATTAAACCGGTTGAGACAGTAGTTCAAGAATTAGTAGGTCAGACATGGATCAACTTAGAGTCAGATCGGTAATAATTAATATATTATAATTTAATTAAAATACATAAAAATATTTATATTTTAATTATGGAAACATATTATTTAGTCTTTAAATAAATATATAAATTACAAAACATTTATATGTATATGAACTTTCTTCTCCATTATTTATTTTTCTTTCTTGTTCTACCCATCACCCATGCTCTCCTCTTGCTTTTTGATTTTTTTCTTAGTTATTCTCCCTCTTTTACGTGATCACTTGCCTCTCTCCTTTCCTCACGCATCACAAGTCTCAATAGCTAGTATGGTCTTTTCATTTACACTTCGCACGCATCACCATTCAGAACGCATGTTTGGACTTTAGAGGGTAGCTTTTTTTAACACTTTGTTCTCTCTTTCTTCACTAGCGTCCATGGCTTTTCCACACAGAGCTGGTAAGTTCTTTGTAAAGCATGAATGGCAACAGTCTAATGAGTTGCAGGGAGATCTCGCCACTGAGAAGAACGACGGTGAGGAAAAGGTCACAGCAACAATGGAGTTCAACTTCAAAGCAGAATCCGGCGATGGTCTAGTCTGTCTTTTTTTTAAAAAAAGTTTTTGAAAGAATACATATTCATTTTGCCCATGGCACGCTCTTAACATTAGAGCCGGTGGGCTCAAACCCTCAAAAGGTCAGGGATTGAAAAAAATAGGACTATTTTAATACGGTCTTTTTCAGCTCGCCAGTCTATTTTTTTTTTTTACAATTTTTATGTTAATTGTAATAAGAAAAAGTTTTATTATTTACACTAAAGTTACATATAACTTTGTATTTTGTTAGAGACTTTGATTTTAAATTTTATTTCTCATTTTCTTTATTGTTTTACTATTTTTATACTAATAAAATAATTATTAACAATAAATTATATATTTATATTTTAACTTTTGAGATTAATTTAACTATATAATTATATGAAAATATAAGAATAAGAATAATTTAATCTATAAAAATTTAAAATTTAATTTAAAATTTTTTAAACATAAATGTAAAATTTTTTTTTGAAAAAAAGATGGAGGTTGGTGAGCCAACCTGCTAACCTGCCAACCCACTCCTTGGCAGGGCGGGTTAGCAAAATATAAGCTCAGCATTCCTTTTAAGATCGGCCCGTATCCCAAACTTGCAACGAGTTGCCTCGTAACTGGCGGGCCAACCTGTTTTATCACCTCTATCTTACATCATTAACCTTTGTTCCATCGACAACAACCGCATGAATCATGATTTTATATTTACACCTTTCTTTTCCCTATTGACTTTTCACAGTCTCAATTTTCCTTTTTGAAGAAGTCTAAAAATAGTACTAATAGAAGGGGCTAGTTCATACCATAATATCACAAATTAAGCTTCGAATTTTTGCTTATCTCAGATACAATTATCTCTTATAAGGTATATAAAACCTACACACTAGTGAAAAGGAAAAGAAGCCAGGTTAAAAATTCAACACGCGGAAACTTTTTGTAAATTAAAACTAGAAAAGTATGGGATTTTTTTCCCGTCCTTTTTACGCCACAAACTTCAAAAGCACAGGTCAGATATGCATCTTCACCATTGTTAATTATATATAGGAGAAAGTAAGAGAAACACAAAGTTGAAGCGGAACCTTTTATTTCTGGACGGGGACCGGAAAAGTCAAGATTAATGGAATCTTTGACCCATTATTGTTACCCCGTGAAGCTAATAGCTTGTTTGGGCGTTCGTAAACATATCCTTAAAACAGATAGCGCCCAGTAATTATTTTTTGCTGTCTATGTCTGCCGTAATGCCTTCAATCTTTCTGCAGCTCCACAATCAATAAGTTTAACTGGAGTTATATTCAAAACTTCAAAAGCAGGTTTTTTGTTTTCTGGGAAAACTTCAAAAAGGATAAGATCGAGCGATATACGTAAAAAGGATCGAGCGATATTCGTACGTACCATTGGTCATAATTGACTGCGGTCCCTCCACTCATTGTCAAAACAAGACAATAGCTGTCATTTCTTCTTTTTTGCATATGCTATCATATCATTTCTCTCTCTTTAGAAAAAAGATGAACCTCACAATGCTGTGATGAGACAAGGAAAAGACTGAGAAGAGTGGTCGGTGGGCCTCATCATGCTTTACTAGGGGTGTTCACGGGACGGGACGGAATCGGAACAGGCCCGTCCCGATCCCGTTCCGGTGAACAGAGACGGAACAAGGATTTTGTCCCGTGTCTCGTCCTGTCCCGGTCCTGTCAGGACCGGGACGGAACCGAGACGTCCCGCTTCCCTCTTTTTATAAAAAAAAGAAAGATACTATAATTTTTTATATGAATTTTTTTATGTTATAATATTTATTTTTTATTGGGCTTTTAAAGTTAAAAATATTACGTAGAAAGCTTAATTATATAGCATAAAAAAAGTGTAAAAATAATACTGTAAAAAAAAAATACCGTAAAAAAAACACTATATAATGACTTTATGAATTATTTTATTGAGGAAGGAGATTTTATTGAGATAATACTACAACTTAAGAGCTACAAATCACCATAAAAATAAAAGTTATTATTAATAAGTAAATTGAATAATCTAATAATAATTATTAATAAATAATTTTTAAAAGAAATAAAATCCCGGGACGGGACGGGACGGGACGGGACGACCCTGTCCCGCGTCCCGTCCCTTTCCGGTTACTGTCGCGTCCCGAAATTTTTTTTGTTCTGTCCTATCCCGAACTCACCGGGATCAGAACGGAATGACCGGGACGGAACAAATTGAATACCCCTATGCTCTACTACTTTAGAGAAGTAAAATGTGACTGTGAGAATCAGTCGCTTAAACTTCATAAGTAGCTCTTCAGATATATGTTAATGCCCATTCAGATTCGCGGTAGGAAATCGAATCTGTTATTTGAAAGTAGTTTTGTCTCGCTTTTTTTTCTCTGTGACCCAAACAGCTTATAAGTGGTATTACCAACAAGTTACCACCCGTCCAAAAAATTAGCCCAAATGCTCGTCTCTGTCATTCCTTCGTGATCATGTCTATCATTTCTTTGGCTCTTGTTTCTTTCCTTTCTCATCTTCTTATTCTCACCGCCCAGCCTTTCGTATATTACAAATGCTTCGATCAAAGTGGTAACTTCACAAACACAAGTTCCTACCACACCAACCTCAATATCCTTCTCTCTAATTTCACTTCCGACACGAAAATTGACTATGGCTTCTACACTTACTCTTATGGCCAAGATCCTGACACAGTTAAAGCATTTGGTCTCTGCAGAGGAGATGTGAAGCCAGATACTTGCCGCAGTTGCATAAACAATGCCACAATCCTTCTCCCAAAGTTGTGTCCAAATCAAAAGGAAGCATTTGGATACTATGACTTGTGCATTTTTCGATACTCAAATCCTTCAATATCTGGGATATACCAATATCCTGACTTTTACTATGCTTTTAGTAGCAACCCAGAAAAGGTAAATAGAGATCCAGACAAGTACAAAGATTCGCTCGATCGTCTGATGCTGAATTTGAAAAGTATAGCTGCGGCTGGTGATTCTCATCGTAAGGTGGCTGTGGGAAATGCGACAGTGGATAAGTTTCGAACGGTTTACGGTCTTGCTCAGTGCATGCCTGATTTGTCTCAGCAAGATTGTGACGCCTGTTTGCTAAAGACAATCTCGGATATATCAGTATGTTGTGAGAACAAGGTTGGTGGGAGAGTGATCAAATTCAGCTGCAATATTAGATTTGATCATGTTCTGTTCTATGATCTTACAGTTATTGATTCATTACAATTGTCATTGCCCATCATTACTGCTCTCGCTCCATCTACCAATACTACTTCATCACAAGGTATCTCTAAACTTAATCTTATATTATGGCGTTTGATTACTTTGAAAAGTTTGGCTAATCAAATATGTGTGGTCAGATAAGATCAAAGTGGTCATATGAAAATTCTTTTATAAGGATCTCAAAGTTTATGGACTTTTAAAATATCTAACTTTTTTTTAAGAAAACAATTCAATATTCAGTATTATCAATTAATTGAAATTTTATCTTCATTGGGTCTAATTGGGACATAATTAATTTCTTAAGCTCATGTGACATCAAAGCAATTGCTGATGATTCACCTACATCTTCTGTAAATTGATTTGGAATTTTCAAAAAAAAAAAAAAAATCCTAAGATGTGCTCCTTCCTGTCCTTACTGTTAAGATCTCATGCATGTTTTATGATCTAACATATTTTGTTTAAAATATTAAATTTTTCACCTAATATATCTAACTAACTATAAAACTTTCTAACTAGTTAATCAGGTAATCAACCGACTCCTCTAACTAATACTACGTCTGCACTACATGGTGGATCTCATATTTAATATCAGAGGCAGTAATTTTTATTAATTACCAGAGCTTGCATACACTACTTCTCTGTTTAAATGGAGGTAAAAGTGGGAGCAAAATAGAATGTGGAAAGGGAATACCAGGAGAGAAACTTTCTTTAAAATTTTCCCCCCCTAATATTCTTTCATCCCTATAATTTTTCCCCATAGGGTAAAAGATAGGAAGGAGTATAAAGATAGCTTTTTGCCAATCTGAAAGGTGAGTTGAGGATTGAAAGCTGCGTCTCGTGTTGCTCGTATGCTCATCTACTGTGTTTGATAGATAGTGGGAGAGAGAACAACTAAGAGAAATCAATAAAATATTAAGAGAAGGGATAGCGAAATGCACACCTTTATTTATTGATATAATATTAAGTGATAATAAACTTTCAGGATCAATGGATTGAATAAGCGCCATGCGAGAAGATATGGTGGAAAAATCCTTAGATTGAGCAATTATATATGCTCTTTTAATTTGTTAGGCTACTTAAGTGTTTCCCTTTTCCAAAGGTAACTTAAAGAGCATGCACAATGGTAAAATTGATTAAAAAAGTACAAAATCTTATAATACTATTTGTTTTCTCCATTACATTATTTTTCGCCGTGAGCTATCATATGCTCTAAATTACACCTTAGGTGATAAATTTACCTTTTGTGATGTAATCGTCAGGAGGAAGTGCTAGCAGATCACAAACTGATGTCATCATTATCGTCCCCATCGTAGTTTCAATGATAATTTTTTGTTTGGTGGGCTGCTATCTGCTAAGGAGAAAAGTTACAAGGAAAAGAAAGCAGGCTATTCTTAGAGAAAACTGTAATTATATTACTTATTTACTTTTCAACTTAAGAAAATCTTTAATTATTTCTGGCATGCTTACTTTGGTATTCTCATGTTCATATTGGTCCAGTTGGCGAAGAAAGTTCATCCCTGAACTCCTTGCAATTTAGTTTGGCAACGATTGAAGTTGCAACAAATAAGTTTTCTGAAGAGAACAAAATAGGAAAAGGTGGATTTGGAGAAGTTTATAAGGTAAAATATCCTAAAAATAATAATGCTAAATTAACTGATGATTGGTTTTCATTTATACTAATTCAATTATATATGCTTGTCAGGGTGTTCTTCCTGATGGACGAGAAATTGCTGTAAAAAGACTTTCTAAAAGTTCTGGACAAGGAACATTAGAATTCAAGAATGAAATATTATTGATAGCCAAACTTCAACATAGAAATTTAGTGACCTTATTGGGATTTTGTTTGGAAGAGCAAGAGAAAATTCTTATCTATGAATATGTGCCAAACAAGAGCATTGATTTCTTTTTATTTGGTACGTATAAAACCTCTAACCTCATTTCTACATATTAGTTAAAGTTCTACATATGCACATGCTTATTATTATGGATTATGTTCTCCCAGTAGTTAATTTGTTACCGATATTGATTTTTATAATTATTTGACTTAATTATATAGATCCTGAAAAGCAACGAGTACTCGATTGGTTTGAGCGTTTCAAAATCATAAGAGGCATTGCACAAGGACTTTGTTACATGCATGAATATTCTCGGCTTAAAGTTATTCATCGGGATCTCAAACTTTGCAATATCTTATTAGATGATAAGATGAATCCAAAAATATCAGATTTTGGTATGGCCAGAATGATTGCTATAGATGAAGACCAAGGAAGTACAAAAAGAATTGTTGGAACATAGTAAGTTCTAAATTTCTTATTTTCTCTGTGTGCCTTTCCCCAAAAAGGTTGCATAAATTATGTGTAAAGCCAAGATTTTTTTCTTTATTTTCTTTTTGATCCACAATATTGATCTCTTTATGTTTTGATGGTACTAATAGCGATATTTTCTTCTTCTTTTTTTATAGTGGCTATATGGCTCCTGAATATTTAATATATGGACACTTTTCAGAAAAATCTGATGTTTTTAGTTTTGGAGTTATAATTTTAGAATTACTTAGCAGCAAGAAGAATGCCAAATCTTATGAATCATTCCTTTTAGCTGATGTAAGTATTAATCTATGTCACTTATCGTTTCTATTAATTTTATTTTCATATCTAATCTGATGCAAAGAAATTCGAGCACCATGGATTTTATCATCTCATTATTTGATATATCATTTTAGGTTTGGAAGCATTGGAAGGAGGGAACACCATTACAAATATTGGACCCTTGTCTGATGGAATCTTCTTGTCAAATAGAAGCAATGAGATGCGTTCAGATTGGGCTCGTATGTGTTCAAAAGAATCCAGATGAGAGGCCAACAATGGCTGAAGTTGTTTCATATCTTAGTAATCTTTCCATTGAATTGCCATCTCCAAGAGAGCCACCATTCTTAATTCATTTAAATCCAACTATGTCAACAGAATGTAGTTCCGATCAAACAACTCAGAGCTCCAAGACAGTGGTTTCAAATGAAATATCCATCACAGAGATCTTGCCTCGGTGAAACTATACTCTTCATTTCTATATTCATACACGTTCATGTAACTGATATATGGAATGAGAAGTCTTTTTTTCTGCTTCTGTCTTCCTTCATCAATTTTAAGCAGCTGATTAATGCTAGCTCTTGACTTTTCCTGCTGTTACTTCCAAGCTTATATGTTTCTTTTGATTCTTGATTAGTGTTCTTGACCTTTGTATCAAATTTATTAATAATCCTGGTTTTTAATAAAAGAGTTAGTTAAGGATTAGATTTAGTTTTAAATATAAAATCTCAAACCATCTTGTCACCCATCTTTCTTCATAATATCTCTGATGAGTGTAATGATTTTCTGCCAAGGGATAATTCTAACCATTTAGTACATAAGATGGAAGAGGAAAATTTAGAGAGATCAACATAAGTTTATGACAAATGACCAATTTAATGAATTTTCTTAATATCCTCAAACTTGTTATCTCACTCTTATCTTAAGGACTAGATATGGTATTTCAGTTTGCTTTATTCTCTTATCCGAATATGAGTAGAAAGATTTGGGTTGATGAGTCAGATGTGGGGTTTTGATATGCTTTATTGTGTTGCGTCTTGCCAGCGAGTAATATAATACTCCTCCGGTTCTTAATATGGGACCTAATTGTTGAATTAATTTTGATTCTAAATATAAGACTTATTTCTCATAATCAAGTAAAAGAGAGAGGGAGGATGCTAAAAAAGATTATTATGATGTTTTAGAAAAAACATGTCATATTTCTTATAATTAACTAACTTACCTAACTTTCTTAATCTAATCAAATTAGTTAAATATGTCTTATATTAAGAACCGGAAGAATAACAAAAAGAAGGAAATGTAAAAACTTTTGGCTACTACTCCTTGGGTTCTTAACGTAACACTTAATTGAGGAGTTGATATTGGTCATTTATATAAGACTTATTTTATATATTTATAAATTTTTTTCTAAATTAATGTATTGATATTTTTTCAACAATGATCAAGTAGGAGAAGGACAGAATAACTGAGAAATATATTTAGGGTATTTTAGAAAAAAATAGAGCATATTAACTAATTTAATTAACATCTTTAATCTGTTTAAAGTAGTTAATTATATCTTATATTAAAGATCAAAGAAGTATTAAATAGGAAAATCAATTTTTTTTTTGCTTGCCGTGCTAAATAAATTCATAGTCACATCAACAAATCTATTCATTCCATTCCTTTCCTTGGACTCTGATCTCGAGGATTCAGCCAAACGAGTTGTAAGGTTGATTAGTTTAGGAAAGTGCGCAAGAGATAAATGACGATAGTTAATTTAAATTCACCTGTATATATTTTGTTATTCTTCTATCAATGATCAGGGAGATTCACAAATGGCCTTAAAAGTAGAGTTGAGAATATGATGAGTTCAACCCCTTGAAAATAAGCCCATTTTGATATGGGCCAATTTTGGCCCAATCATCTTAGTTCACCAATGGGAGAGGGGAAGCAACTCAGGTGGTGGACTAGTTGAGGAGACCAAGAATACGTGCGTTTGTTAAGTTTGGTAAAACTAATCATTTGACTAAAATTATCAAAACTGAAGAGTTGCATCGAATTAAAATTAAGGGATCAAGTGGTAATTGGCTTAAAATTATAGGAATTGAATTATATCAAATCAAAATTGAACAAATAAGTTACAGCAGAGTAGTCAAAATGAACATGTGTTCATCACACATTTTCATTGTCCTGTTCAGAATTCTGCTTCTATTTTTTATGAATATAGGTCTGACCACCCTGAACTTTTTTAATTTTCATGGCTAAAGTAGTTCCATGAATAGAATTACGTATTTATCATGTTTGTGTTTACCTTTACAAGCCATAGCCATAAAGTTTGAAATTAACAGAGTCAATTGAAACTTTTCTTTTTTTTTACCTTTTTCCTAATGTTGAAGATGCGATTTTCTTAAAGCTTCATTACTTTGGATTTTTTATTCATAAAGAAAAGTACTTTCCAATTTTTTATTCTGAATATTTGTTTAATTTGATTTAGTAACATCTAACTCAATTGATGGATGTTCGCCAGCCATTGAATGCTTAAATGAGTAGCGCAATTATTAATTAACAAAGAAAATGATGAACTTGTTGACCAATTGCAGGCATCATTAAATGAATTAGCCAAGTTGTCATCAAAACATTTGAGATGAAATAAATATTATTTTACGTTATAAAAATATTACTACTTTTATTCGAAGAATATTTTATAATTTAAATATTACTACTATTACTTACAAGTCCTTTTTCACAACTTAAAAATTAACTTTTTCAGATTTATAAATGAATGTAAATTATCTTTTGTTTAGGAAAAAATTATAAATTTGAGAGCTAAAGTTGATTAACATATTATATTTAAGATCAAAAGAAACCCCTCAATTATTTCCTACATGGAGGAGGTAACAATGTCACCAATGAATAATGCTATTTTGGTGTACAACTTTGGTACTTTCCCATCAGGTTAAGGTTCAAATTTATCACAAAATTTTTTACTTAGGAGTGCTAAGTACCTGAAAGTGTTTTTAGTAAGAATTTGTTCTAAAAGTTTAAAATTGTAACAATATTACTCTCTACTGTTAAAAATGTTAATAGTCAATGTTATTATTTTAATAGTTAACATTAGTTTTTCAATAGTTGGTCATAATATTGCTATGATTTTAAATTTTTGAAGCAAATTAACACACAAAAAAACTTGAGTGTCCAATACTCCTAAGCAAAAACTTCTGAAACAAATTTGTATCTTAACTCATTTCTCATATTGATGTGGTAATGCAAGGGTATCTGTAAGAATACATGAATAAACAAATTCTGTTACTCCCTTTCCTCATATTTAGCAAACCTTACCTATGAATTCTTAATATAAGATACGAGCACCTTACAAAATTTAATGAAACAGTATGTTTGCCACTTATTTCAAATGATGCATTTTTTCTCGTTTACTCTTAGCTTAAATAATGGCTTTTGCATCTTGAGTCCCAAAAAAAAAAGAGGCTTTTGCATCCTCTCTTTCCCTTTGAAATAAGCTATTAATTCTTAATATAGGATACCTTACAAAATTTAATTTCATGAAAATGATTAAGAGTAAATTAAAAAGTACTAAAAAAAAGCATATTGCAATGAATGAATCATGTCTATTTTGTATCAGAGCCTCCTTGAGTTTTAGCATGTTTTGTTAATGGTACGGACAGTCGTTTAGAAAACAGTGTGGTTCAATGAGATATCTAATTTTGAAGCAGAAAATATCAAGAGTTACTAGTTTTCCAGATGTTACTTAGTAACTTGATGTCTTTGAAAATAGCATTAAAGGAGGGGGGGAAAAAAACGAGAGAAGCATTATTTGAATTTAGCTTCCATGCAGTTCAACTAATTTACTTTAACGTTGTACGTAGTGAGCAACAAATTTAAGCTACATATGAAATACGAATTTGTGAAAGAATTATGAACTAAACATAATAAAAAAGACACAATTATTTGTTATAAATAAAAAGAAAAACTTTTGACATGCCATTATAAAAAATTATTTAAAAATAATTCAAATGTTTAATTACTGTACATCTTATCATTCTTACTTCTTAGGACCATTCGAGATCAACTTCTTTTTATATGGTAGAGACAAAGAACGAATATAATATGAATATATGATATTTCTTGGGACCTTCCTTGTAGTCTTTTTATATCTATTAAGGTCTGCGGGGGCCCTGAATGTCTTAAATTATTATCAAATCAAAACACGCAAACTCGCAAAAACCAAAATGTAAGCCAACTTGTTTCCAAAACAAATAAGAGGCTTATTATAATGTATAAATTAAAATGAATGACTTGAATGCAACTTTAATATGAAATGAAAAGTCTTTTGAACAAATTAAATTTGAAATCCCATCTAAGCATAACAGATGTTACTGTTGAAGTAACTAACAGATAAGTTGGAATTAATAGCTAGAGATGCTAATATATATTTAGACACATTGTGGTATTGATGATGTTGGGTTATTGCTATTATTTTTAATATAAGATCTACCATTTTTTTTATACGTTGGAAATTAAAGAAGATAAGATCTACTATACACTTTGTTATAAAAGAAGTAACTTTATACTTTTTTTTAATAATACTGAAATTTATTGCAACAAAAACTCGAAAAAAAAAGAAGACAAATCAACCGAGTTTCCTCTATGAATAGCAAGACAAGTTTTGTTGGAATTTGAGATAAATTACTGTTCGAAATTTGTGATTAGTTTTTGGTTGTTGGATTTTTGTAACAATTTTTATTTTTAAAAGATTGAGCGATTTGTAAATAGTATTACTTCCGGTCTTTAATATAAAAATTAGTTGACTAATTTGGATAAATTAAGAAAAATTTTTAAGTTAGTTATTTGTAATAAATAGGTATTATTTTTCCTAAAATATTCTTACTAATCCAGTATATTGGTTAGAACTACCATTATCACAAGGACTATCTTTGAAATAAATAAATAAATATGAAAAATAAAGTAAATTTAGATAATATTTATGATTAAAATAAAATTAAATCAATTTTTATATTAAAAATATGAAGTAGTAATGAATTTGGGATTTTTTTTTGGCAATTTTTATTTCCGAAGATTATAAATGTCAGATCTGCTTTCCCATGCAACTGGCCATGAAGCCGCCGGCGCAAAGAGTTGACGAAGCTGACTGGCATTCTGCAATTTGATAAGGTCACACACAGATAATCAACTACATTCATCCAAGGCGCACACACAGATATATATATATATATATATATATATTTATATATGTATATGCATGCATGCATGCTTCCATGGCGTGGATGCACACACACAGCCTGTCGGGTTTTGAACATAGCCAGTTTTGAAAAGCTTTGTGCTAATTTTCCACGTCTAGTTGGGCCCCACTTTCACCTCAATCACATCCTCTTTTGTCTAATATCCATGACCATGCAGCGCCATCATTGAAAAAGAAACGGTTCCAATGTTCCGTTTACAACAAGGCCAAAAACCAAAAAAGTGTTCCATTTGCAAGGAACAAAATTGAAAATTAAAAATTTTAATAAATAGAAAATTTTTCATTTAAAGACCGCGGTACAAAATTAATTTTAAAGAATCTCTAAAACTTTCTGAAGCAGGACCAAGAGAGTAAATTGATATTAATTTCACAAAATAATAACGTTATTGCCCCTTATAATAAAAGTGGGAGAACCTATTTGCAAGTGAGATTAGACAATTTGTAACATATATACATATATTTAAAATTGAAAGTAGTCCTTTTACGACATGAAGAAAGTGTCCGTGAGTGAACAAGTGTGGGAGAGTCAATTTGCAAGTTAAACTAAATAATTTGTAACATATGTATATTTATTTATAACTGAAATTAGTCTATTTACATATCACCTCCTTCATCTGAAGAAGGTATCCATGAATGAACAAGTGTGGAAGAACCTATTTGCAAGTAGGACTAAACAATTTGTTGCATATATACCTTTATTTACAACTGAAATTAGTCCATTTACATGTTATCCTGTAATAAGTATAATGAGGGGCAATAGTATCGTTTTTTTGTGGAATTAATATCAATTTGCCCCCTTCGTCCTACAGTAAAGTTTCAGAACGTTTTGGAAGCTTTTTGAAATTAATTCTGTACTGCGATCCTTAAACGAAATTTTTCCTTTTAAATATTGCAGGTCGAAAATTGATTTTCTGACATTTATTTATATCTATTATGAAAAAAATGGTTACTTTTATTTACGGCATCCTAAGCATTTGTTTTTTTGTTTTGTTTTACGATATAACACAGTTTAAAATCTAAGACCTCGCATACTCGTTTGAAATTGAATACGGGAAATTCATACATCACAAACAAAAAGAACGTTACTTATTGATAAGTACAAATTCGACTAATATCATGTTAGTTGACTAAAATTCTAATTTGAGTCCACGAAGGTTTTAGCTAGGTCTAATTTTGCACAGAAAGTAGTGAATGATAAATTTCATAATAGCACACACATACATATAGTAGTTACTACCTCGAGACCTGTTTATATAAACATTTGTTCGAGTCTACTTAAATTTAACTGAGTGCCAGTGGATATCGGATAGAAGTATAAAAAAGTACGAAGTAGCATTCTATTAAATAACTGAATTAAAATATTACAAATTTTAACTTCTTTTATGTGATTTTCCCGATTCTTGTACTCACATGCACAGACCCCACGAAGTATGCCTGAAAATTTTTATTTGAACGTTCATGTATTTACTCAAATTAAATATTTAATTAGTCATTCACACTGCATGGAATAAATAAATAAATAATTGATCCCTACTGTAATCATCACCTAAAAATTCTATATCTATATTACCGCTCACTATAGCTTTAACTAAAAATTATTCTTTCTTCAGCAAAATGATTGCTTTCGTCGTCGTCTTCTTCTTCATCTTCATCTTCAGCACCACCCAATCAGCCGCCTCTGTATTCAACGATTTCAACTGCACAACCAATATCACCTTCACTCCGAACGGCACCTTCCAAAGCAACCTCGCCGCCCTTCTCTCCTCTCTCTCCTCCAACGCCACCGGCGGCATCAGATTCTACAACACCACCGTCGGCGGCCGCGGCGGAACAAACACCGTATACGGCCTCTTCGTGTGCCGCGGCGATGTGCCGTATCCATTGTGCAGCGAGTGCGTTAACTTCGCCACCCAGAGGATAAGCTCATCGTGTCCTTCAGCGAAAGAAGCCATTATTTGGTACAACGAGTGCTTGCTGCGATATTCTTACAGGTCTATCTTCTCTGCCATGGAAGAATGGCCAAGATATCAAGTCAAGATTCCGTTAGGCGACCCTGGGCTTTTACGAACTCGGCGTTTCTACGATACTTTGGGATCTATTTTGAACGATCTGATAGATGGAGCAGCTCAGGCTCTTGGGAAATCTGATTCAAAGTTCGGTGTTCAGCAAGGTGACGCATCTGGAAACACAACGCTGTACGGCCTGGCTCAGTGCACGCCGGACTTAGCCACCGGCGACTGCAAGCGGTGTGTCAGGGATGCCATAGCGGAGATTACGACGTCGTGTTGCCGTGGTAGCATCGGACAAAGTGTAATGTTCCCCAGTTGCATTATTCGCTATGAAACATATCCATTTTATCAGCATGCCGGAACGTCGACACTCACGCCGGCGGCGACGGCTAACGGTCAGTGGCTAAACCTTTTTTTTTTTTTGGCAATATTCAGTGCATATGTCTGGCTCATAAAAAAAATTAAAAAAAATATTGTGTCAATACATATAAATTCAGTTGGATTTTGGACGAAAATATAATTATAATTATTAATATTATGCTGTTTGCGTAAAATTACTCTTACTATTAGAGATAAAATATCAATCCCATCCGTATTCCTTTTATGATTTAGTTGATCAATAGTTGTACTCGTTTATTTTAGATTAACGATCATGCCTAGAAAAATAATACTCCTCCGTCCTAATTATAAGACCCAATTGACTTATTTGAGGAGATTAAGGAAGCAAGTTAAGTTGGTTATTTATAATAAATAAGTGTTGTTATTCCTAAAATATCCTTGCTAATTAAGTATATTAGCTAAAACTATCATTATTAGAAGGATTATCTTGGAAAAAAATGCATAAATATAATAGACAAAATGGATTGGGTCTTATAATTAGGACCAAATAAAAAGTCAAATTGGGTCTTATAATAAGGACCGGAGGAGTAATTGATAAGCTAGAAACTGCGGTAGGCGGGGGACATGATACAAGCACATTAATCATGAAAGAAAATTGAAGATTATTTTATCCACACTTCCATTTGGGCCTACTCCATTATCACACACACACACACACACACACACAACTTACATACTAATCGATTCAAACTTCTTTTTGTGGGATTTTTTTATTTAAATGTTTGATAACGAAAATAAAAAATATATATATGCTTAATAATATTTTTTTGTATTTATATACTAATCGATGGATGCTGAAAGCAACTTTCCATCACAAAACTTACATAAATTTTTTTTATTAAAATATGACACGTGAAACAAGTTTTGGAAGTGTTAACCATGGAATATTATGAAACTTATATACTCAATATAAATTTATTCAAGGAAAATTCCCATTGAAAAAAAGTTTAAAATTACTAAATTTCAAATGAGGGTTAACAATAACACTTTAATAGGTTTTGACAATACTGAATATACAAATAACAACACATTTTTATAAAAACATTTTATATAAAATTTAGTAATTTCAAACTTCTTTTTGTGGGATTTTTTTATTTAAATGTTTGATAATGAAAATAAAAAATATATATGCTTAATAATATTTTTTTATCTTGCCATTACCCAAAAATTACTGTCACTTTCAATTGGTAAGTTCTGGTCGGTAGGAAAAAATGACATGCATTCTCAATGGCATGTGGCTGTTAATGTCATCCAATGTGTGATATATACGTGGAAGCTGATTCGTGCAGGAAAAAGCAATAAATTGCGGACACAAATTATTGCAATTATTGTCCCCTCCATTATTGTTCTAGTGGCGATTCTCGTTTTGTGCTTCTACATGGTGCCTAGAAGAAATTCAAATTCAAAGAAGAAATCACAAAAAGCCACTGATCTCTCAGAAAATTGTAAGCAATATATAATACTTTTTTATTAATATAGAAAATTACGTCCTTTAGATTTTGCATATAGTCCAACTGGATTCTTACATATGTTTCCGCGTTAACGTTATTTTATAGTTGGGGTTGAAATTATTACCACAATGGATTCGTTGCAAATTGACATAGCTACAGTTAAAGTGGCTACGGACAATTTTTCTGAAAAAAGCAGGATTGGCAAAGGTGGATTTGGAGAAGTTTATAAGGTGATAATTGCGATAAATTAAAGACAATAAATTAATGGTTTTTTTTTCCTTTTGTAAATTTCATGAGTTGATTTTAACTGATGGCTTGAAGTTTTTTAGGGGGTTCTTCCTAATGGACAAGAGATAGCTGTGAAGCGATTGTCAAGAACTTCATCGCAGGGAGTTGAAGAATTCAAAAATGAGGTTTTGCTGATAGCTAAACTTCAACACAGAAATTTAGTAAGGTTACTGGGATTCTGCCTTGAAGATGATGAGAAGATACTTATCTATGAATATGTGCCTAACAAAAGCCTTAACCATTTCCTATTTGGTATGTCATACAGTCTATGAAAGTTTTCAATATATCAGAATGCAATTAGTTAATTTCTTTTTTCGCTGTTTGGTTTATGTTCAGATCCTTTGAAGCAAAGGGAATTAACTTGGCCTGAACGTTTTAAGATTATAAAAGGAATTGCTCGAGGAATCCTATATTTACATGAAGACTCTCGTCTTAAGGTCATACATCGTGATCTTAAACCAAGTAATGTTTTGTTAGATAGTAACTTGAGTCCAAAAATCTCAGATTTTGGTATGGCAAGACTAATAACACTAGACCAAGTTGAAGGAAGCACAAACAGGATTGTTGGAACATAGTAAGTGCAAAATTCTCTTTTCCTCCTTCCATGCTTTTATATCAATAATTTTTCAAGTACTAACAAGTTATATATTTTCAGTGGCTATATATCTCCAGAATATGCAATGCACGGATATTTTTCTATAAAATCCGATGTCTTTAGTTTTGGAGTGATGATGCTCGAGATTATTAGTGGAAGAAAGAATTCATATTCTTATGAATCATGTCGCATTGATGATCTCTTGAGCAATGTGAGTGTTCTTTTTCTCTGCCTTCGTTGTATCTTCATGTACATAGATAAAAAGAAGGCTAATTAATTAAGCTAATAACATGATTAATTAACTACATTGTTTAACATTTATACTGATTAATATATAAATTGTTGCAGGCTTGGAGAAAATGGAGGGATGAATCAATAGAGGAATTGATGGATCCAGCAGTGAGAGAATCATATTCTCAACAAGAAGTGTTTAGGTGCATCCAGATTGGTTTATTGTGCGTTCAAGAAAATCCAGATGATAGGCCTACAATGGGAAACGTTGCTTCATATCTTAGCAACATTACAGTTGAATTGCCATATCCTCTGGAACCTGCGTTTTTCATGCAAGGTAGAAGAAGAAGAAACCATATGCATGATCCCAATTCTGATCACTCCACCAATTACTCTGTCTCCTCAACCATTAATGAGATGTCCATCAGCAAATTTTTCCCTCGCTAATGATTATTAATTACGTATATGTGAAAAAAATTGTAACTATACAATATTCATATTCTAGATTGTTTTGTTGCTCTATAGTTTTTATTTTTATTTGAAAGGATAAGCACTAACAATTTGAAGTTATAAACGGGATCAAACCCATAACTTCTTATATATAGAATAGTTTTTATGCCAGTAAGTTACAACGACATTAGCAGGTTGCTCTGTAGTATTATATTGATGGTATGTTGGAGGCACAACCCAAATCTCTTGGGTCTGTACGTAGTGCATAAATTGTAATTTGATGTGTTTAACATTGGTTCATTTATTTTTGACACAATGCAATCGATTTGATTACTTTGCAATATATAATCGTATCCGAGATTGCATGCAAATTATGCAGACAGCGCAAAATGATAAGACGAGATTAGTGTAAGCTTTTGAAAATGGAAAACTACATACAAATAAAGAAATTAGAGGAAATAAAACTCTCCCTAAACATCAATTTAAAACAGTTCTAAAAAAAAAAAATATTGCATCGTCCAGCAAGCTAGAAAATCAGGTTGAAGGAATATTAAAACCCTTGAAACAAGCTTCAAGAACTCTATAATTTATGATAATACCACAAATATTGATAACTTTAATTAGTTTGATAATCGTTCTTGGCAAAATAACGAAGAAATAACCCTCTCTGAAAATGCACAATTTATCATCAGTGTCGTTTAAAAGTTCTCAAAACATGGTTCATGAACAAAACTAACTAAGCCCAAATAGCTGATGGGTCGAATCTAGAAAAGCTTAACCTAAAATGTATTCCTAGCTTTGGGCCCATGTATTCCTCGCTTTGGGCCCATGGATTCCTAATTAAAATAGAATTAGTAATCTCTTTTTTCTCATATGAAAATTAATAGCCACGTTCGCTGAATAGTTATTTAGAATTTAGCACTCAGTATCCTTGCTTCAATGAGTTTTAGCTTTAAAAGTGATATTTTAGCAAATATATCTCTACTTAAATGTACATTTTAATTTATTTTGATAATTATTTCTAAGATCTGGCTTGAATAGAATTAAATGACGTTGTAAGACTTATGTAGCCCATCCCACGTGGTGGGCTTTGTTTTTGTTGTGTTATTTGTGGTGGGAATCTTGGACTTCCAGCTTGAATTGATGTTTTCTATCCCAAACTATACGATTCTACCATTGACTTCAAAATAGAACAATTTCTTTTGTTCTTTACTGTATGCCTATAGTTGACTGAATTGGCAGAGGATGGTCCAGGTAAGGTGGGAGATATAAACAGGGTTGTTTGTCAAGATTGGAATCAATGCTGATCGAAACGCAAATTCCACGAATCTACCAGTCATCTTTCTCTATCAATCACATACCTTCAATAGAGAATAGTCATGACATTTCTTAGCCTTAAAAATGTCCTAAAATTAGTTGAGTTCATCATTGTTCGATAGCATTTGAATCATTATTTGCATCTCATTTCTTAACTTAAATTACAGAGGTGATCATCGTCGGATCAGTTGGCAGTGGAGGATGGATAGCATCAAATGCCTTGTGCTCGTTTTCATGTTTCCAGCGCTAATGCTTAGCTTTGGCGCCGAACAGGTTACAGCTTTCCAGTTCATTGAATCAGACTGTTACCCTCTTACTGATAACAAACCTAACCATACGTATGAAGCTAATGTGAAAGCCCTCCTCTCCGACCTCAGCTCCAATTCCACCCAAGACAATGGCTTCTACAATTCACTTGCTGGTTGGGTAACCACAAATCCTATAAGGGGACAAGCTCTTTGCCGTGGGGACGTCACTTCCTCCACATGTCAACACTGTGTCTCAGTCGCAGCCCAAAAAACTTTAACCTCTAGCCTTAACTGTACTGAATTCATAATCTACTACGACCTTTGCATGTTGCGTTACAACAGCAAATCCTTCAAGTTCGATGACATAGTCGATGATGGCCTCGCTTGGTCTGGTAACAAGACGGAAATCTCTGACAAGAGCCGTTTCAATCAAACAGTATGGGTTCTTTTAAGGATTGTGACCGCAAAAGCTGCGAATTCAAACTTTCCTGATAAGAAATTTGCCACCTACGAAGTTCCAGTCACGGCCACGCAGAAGCTGTACGGCTTAGCACAGTGCACGCCTGATTTGACAGTTTCAGATTGTGGCCAGTGTTTTCAAAGGGCCTTACGACAGTTTCAGGAGTTTTGCGTCGTTCAAGATGAAAGTAAGGGTGTGGAATTTTGTGCGGAGATCCCACGGGTAATGGTTTTTCTGGCCGGATGTAACGTTAGATATGATACGCACCGCTTTTATAATGTAAGCAACGTATCAAATGTACCAGCAGCCGTTCGTCTTGCAACTTCAGGTAACAAGCAATCCATTTTTGTTATCCTCGGAGTTAATCACATGTAAATGATTATCGACGATCTTATGTACTCAGGAAAACGACATGCTGGATCACGAATTATTGTTGTGATCGTTGCCTCCACTATCATTTCAGCCACGCTTTTTTTTTGAGCTGCTATTTGCTCAGGAGAAAGCTGAGAAAGAGCCGGCAAACTATTCTCACACAAAACTGTAATCTATACTTGTTTCCCTGCATATTTAAAATAATGTTCTAATTTTGGCATGCTTAATGATGTTTTGACTACTCATGTATTGATCTAGTTGGCGAAGAAAGTTCGAAGCTGAAGTCCTTGCGATTTAATCTCACTACAATTGAAGCTGCAACGAATAAGTTTTCTCTCCAGAATAGAATTGGCAAAGGTGGATTTGGATATGTATACAAGGTACAATAATTTTCTCGTGTTTTGTCCTTTTGGATGAAGGGATTCCATCTTTTTTTTTTTTTGGTAATAAAAGGGATTCCATCTTTATTGAAGTGATTTATATATCTCCTAATCATTGGCCTTCTGCTCAGGGAGTTCTTCATGATGGCCAAGAAATTGCTGTGAAAAGACTCTCAAAAAATTCTCTGCAAGGAGCATTAGAATTTAAGAATGAAGTTTTGCTGATAGCCAAACTCCAACACAGAAATCTAGTCACCTTGTTGGGGTTTTGCTTGGAAAAACAAGAGAAAATTCTTATTTACTAATATGTTCCTAATAAGAGTATTGATTTCTTTTTATTTGGTATATTTTAATGTTACTTTCACATTTTTTTCTTCTTTAAAATTTAAACGTTATGCAATTTTCATATTATTAAACTTCTTATTTTCATTAATTTTCTCCATTTTGACTTGACTTCATTTAGATTCTAAAAATCAAAGGCAATTAAATTGGCTGGAACGATTCAACATTATTGGTGGAATTGCTCGTGGACTTCTTTACCTACATGAACATTCTCGTTTCAAAGTTATTCACCGTGATCTTAAACCAAGTAATGTTTTATTAGATAGCAAGATGAATCCAAAGATATCAGATTTTGGTATGGCAAGAATGGTTGCAATAGATCAAGATCAAGAGAATACAAATAGAATTGTTGGAACATAGTAAGTCTTACAACTCTTGTTTGTTGCACCCTCATTACCTGCATCTTTTAAACTTGTACGTGCTTGAATTTGAAACAAAACGTCATTGTGTATACTGTGAGAACATTCATTCATCCTAAAAAATAACTTGAGGATTGATCTTTACCTATTGTTTCATATGTTTATCCATAATATTCATAATTTTTTCTTGTATATCTATTATATTAAACTAATTTTTTTTTCTTTAGTGGTTATATGTCTCCAGAATATTTAATGTACGGACAATTTTCAGAGAAATTAGATATATTTAGTTTTGGAGTTATAATCTTAGAGATAATTAGCAGCAGAAGGAATGCTAGATCTTATGAATCACATTTCTTGACTCATGTGAGTATGAAGTCCAATTTAATTCTTGTCTCTACCTGATCATTTTTTCATATGTATCTAATACACGAACATTAATGCAGGCTTGGAAGCAATGGAAGGAGGGAACACCATTACACGTATTGGACTCATGTCTAATGGAATCTTGTTCTCAAAGTGAAGTAGTAAGATGCGTGCAAATTGGGTTATTATGTGTTCAAGAAAATCCAGAAGATAGGCCAACAATGTGTCAAACTGTTTCATATCTTAGTAATCCTTCCGTTGAATTGCCCTCTCCAAGAGAACCAGCATTCTTCATGCACAGCGGACAAAATTCAAGTGAAAATATTGCAACAGAATCACTTTTGAATCGATCTTCTGTGAATCCTAATCGGTTCTCTTTGAATGAAATGTCTCAGACTGAACTCTTCGCACGATGAAAAGAGGTTCGCCTCTGCTAAAGTCATGGATCAGTGAAAAGCACTGCTTTTTGGTTGATTAAGAGTGTATCTCCTTATAATTTCTTGCTTCTTATCATAACAGAACCAAAATCTCTCCTTAATCTGCTAATATGTAAATTTATCTCAGCTTGCCTGAAAGTGTTTCTCAAAAATACCTTTTCTTTTCTTTTCTGTTTTTATGAATCTGGAATATATTTTCTAATTACATATATCATAACTATCATTTGATGAAAATTTTCTCATTATATGTAATCAATAAAGATATTTAAAAAATTATAAATTTAAAGGACAAAATAAATTTAAATCCTTTATTAACAAATTAATTTTTTTTAATTTTTATATTTAGGATTAAATGTAGTATTAATTAGAATCTCATATTTATATTGAACTGCGAACTGGTCGAACGCTTGATGTAATTATTTTGATGTAGCTTTAATTAGAATCCCATATTAATGATGAACCGATTGATGACTCCTGACTGATTGACGACCTGTACTCAAATCTTTGATCAGCGAACTTTGGTGCCACATGCTGGCTCGCATTTTTGTGCTGTGCTGTTTGAAATTAAGACAATTTCCAAAAATAATGTTTCTTTGATTCTAAATATAAGACTTATTTTATAATATAATTTATACTATAAAATAAGTCTTATATTTAATATTAATTACATTATAAAATATGTTTTATATTTAGGATCGGAGAGAGTATCATATTATTATGAATATACGTTTCTTTGTTGTGCTGGTATTCCAACGTTATTCACCATTGTATATATAGTAT